GCTAATATGTAGAAATACATATACATTTTTGTTCTTTCCGTTTAATTTCTCCAACGGCACACCACTTCCCCCCCCCCCACCAAGGTTGGCGCCATCCCTGGCCTTCGTTTATTATGTCAAAATTTTGTATTTTCTTGTGCAGATGATAACTATTATGCGGTATCGTTGATGAACGCCCCCAAAATCGATTTTGTGCTTAATATTTCTACTCATCGGGAAATAATCGTTTGTTTCTCATCAATTAATGAAGTCAGACAAATAGCCATGCTGAATAGTCGTTCACAAGATGTTTGTCCATTGAATAATGCTACAGATACAATACTTATCAAAAGAAATCAAAATACTTGTAAAATAAGGGAAGTGGAGTCTAACAATACTCATAACTGTGATAACCTACAAGATATTCACATACACATGGAGTTCATGACGGAAGGTATTGGCAAAGGCACGTTCTTCAATGCAACAACCGGCAACTTAACCATCAGATTAAATGAGCCCTATGAATACATCTATTATGAAAAGAATAATGCGAACATTCACTGTAATTTAGGTAAGAGAAACATCATTTTTCTATTTTGTATTCAAAGTACTTTATCGCTTTTAACATTATTTTTTTTAATAGTTCTAGTGATACAAAATTAATATTTTATAAAATAAAATAATTTATTTTTTACAAAACTAAATTAAAATGCAAAAAGATTTTGCTAGAAATTCGTATTTTCTTGCTTTTTCCCTGTCAGCCCTAAAGACTGTAATTATATTTGTGATTCCGCAATTTTTATTAAATAATGCCTTCTGTTGATTGATATTACACCTCTATTAAATTATTGGGTTTCTAAGCTATGCGATAAATTAAATTACAGAACGAATTAATTTAATTTAGATACTAAAAATTAGGAAAATAAAAATGTAAAATTAGATATAAAAAATAAATATGTACAACTCGTTGACAAAATAATGGATGAGAAAGAATCGAATAATATTACATTAATTCATAGTTGATTATTTAAAATAATTGGTTTATAGGCCTACATTTTTTTTCTATACACCGATGATGATAATGAAAGTGAGTCAATTAATGGTCATGTACATATTAAGCACCTTCCCACGATAGAAACCGTCTCAATTAGCTTTAGTCATAGACTATGTACATTGCATTTTGTAGAGTGGCGTAACGCCTTTGGTATCTCCGGTGAGTGAAAGTGAGCCCGGGTCCCCAGTCCAAAGGGGTCCTGGTCCATTGCCTCTAATAAATACCTATACTACAGAGCTTGACGAAGTAAAAGACACAAAAAAAAAAAAAAAAAATATATATATATATATATATATATATAAATGAAAAATACTACAAATTATTTTACAATAATAATCATAATATATATATATATAATATAATATAATAAAATACAATACAATATAATATAATATAATATAATATAATATAATATAATATAATATAATATAATATAATATAATAATTACAATATAATAAAATATCCTCTTTTTGATTGATTGTGAAAAATTTAGGTCTATGTTTTTTACTTTAAAACTAATGAAAAAAGTTGTAGTCGTCATACCACAAAAGAGAAAAGAAATACACCAAAACAAGTTTCCATGAATCGGCCAGACTGGATTACAAAAAGTATACTAAAAAAAAAGATATCCAGTTGTTTTTCAAGTTGATTGACAAATTGTAACATAATAACAAACGGTAATGTGATAGAATTACTCGCAAATATATTAATTTATATCAATATTTTTTTTATCTTATTGTGTGTCTTGATGGATTATTAATATCTTGCAGTGCCGAGTCCGTGTGGTACTGGTTCTCCATGCCGTAATGGATGGCATTGCAAAATGAGCAATGGAACACCTGATTATACATGTCAATGTGGACAAGCAAGCTGCCACAGTACGTCTCAAGATTCATATCAATTTAATTTTGTTATGGGTTTCTCATTGTCAAATTAATTACATATTATTTGTAAATTTATTAAGCGTAGAAAGCAACAAATTCATAGTTTTGTGTAATTACCCCCTCGGGGGCATAGGCACTATGTTACCGTCTGGCAGTTAACCAGATAAGAGCGAATACATCCGGTCGAGGTGCATGATGGGTACTACTACCACGAGATAGATGGCGCCATATTAGAAATCGAATAGAGCTTAAAACGCGAATAATTTGCGTCCGAAACTCGAACATGCGTTATAGAGACGTAGCGCGAGTTCGATACAAACGCCTTTATAGTCCACCAGAAATACGGATTTGAAGCACCGAAGTTGGACATAATTGCAACAAAACGTTTTTTTATGAATACATATAGTTAAATTTTATATCTACA